AAACGTGTAGTGAAAACGCAGGCTGCAGGAACCAAAAGGTAGAGAAGAAGTCGATGAAAGGAAACTCCAATTTTAAAGCACAATGAGAAAGGACCCATCCTGGGTTTACTGGCATGCTGTGTTTTTATTAACAGCCCTGAAGACGGAGCAGAAAGCACCTATTAAATCTGCACATTCCAATGCCAAGATCTACAAACACACTGACAGGCAGGATTAAATTCACTTAAGAACAGTGTAATTTGACGCACAAGTTTCCATATGGGGGTAGCAATAATTAACTGCGTGTTGCAATACAAACAGAACAACCATCACTGAGGATTTCAGACCAGCACACACACCGAGGCACAACGCCCGACCACGGACTGGTCTGAGGAGCACCCCAGGCACTGACCCTGCTTCGGCCGTCACCGCTGTGCACAGCAGAGCGACCGGGGGCAGACAAACAGCAACCGGTGAGGTGAGAAACAGCTTGAGAACCTGAGATCAGCCTCAAGAACACTGCAGAAACACGGGCAGACGAGTGTGGGACATCCTCCTCCAAAGCCATAGGAGAAATAAGCAATCTGTGACGAATAAAACGTTGGACAGCAAAGACGCTGTGAGCGGTGGCGGCTGCTGCCCTGGGAGGTGCTGGCATTTCTACCACCTCCGGTCCAGGTCAGACACGTCTGACACCACTCCTCATTAAAGTCTCCCTAATTTAAGAACAGACTGCATGAGATCCTTCCCATTATTCTTCTTCTTTTAGAGCATCTGAGCACCTCAAGAACATTAACGTATTAATTTTTAAGAGACCTTTAAAGAGAAGTCTCCACAGGCAGAATCCAAGAACCCAGTATCTGATTGTCTGCTAACGCGAACGCTCATCTGGTGTTTTGTTAATACTTCGTTTTCATATTGAGCTGTACTTCCAAAATGCAGAGCACTGAAACCAGCTGATCCCAAGAGGTCAGAGGACAAGTTAAATGGGTACTGGGAAACAGAAATCACCTTGGTACAGTCAGATTTCACCTAACGGGTCACGGGAGAGGACGGGGACTTTGGGCTCCATCTCAGTCTCTCAATAGAAACACGATCTGTAACAGCAAACGCCTCTGTTCCTGTTACTGAACCGTAACAACGCGTACACACAGAACCTGCTTTCTCAGTGGCCTGTACAACAACCAGTGTGCCACCCAAGCCATAGGAACCACTGCCCTGCTGGAAGCCAAGACTGAGTTTCAATGCACGGAGACACAAGAGTGCTCGTGGAAAAGAAAAACAAGAGTTAGGACTAGGTTTTTATTTTCCGATCTCAGAAAACGCTGTTCAGTGCTCTTGAAATTCACAGCTCCAGGCACCAAATACCAAAAACTTGGTTCCAAATGGTTAAATTTCTGCTGAAAGAGAGAGGACTGTTATAACACATATCCAGCAACCTTAATGTCAGACAACGACACAGACTGAGGAGAAAAGCAGCATTTAACAAGGACGTGAAGAAAGGGCTTATCTGCAGGAACAGTTCAGAAAAACGCAATATTTATTAAAAAAGAAGGAGCTGCTTTAGCTCCATCAAGAGGATGGCTTGGACTGCAACAAGGAGCAACCGCAGCCAGGCTGCAGGTGACCACAAAGTGGTGCAGCTCCACCATGAGCTGAGGTCACAGAGATCTGGGAGAGGCTGGGAAAGGAGGACGGGTCCCCAGAAATGTGGCGTTAGCAGAGCTGTCCCCCCACAGGGTCCTTCCTGAGGAACACACTGGTACTGGTACAACAGCAAGGGCCCAGGGACAGCGCCAGGCTGTAGGTTACCACAAAGTGGTGCAGCTCCACCATGAGCTGAGGTCACAGAGATCTGGGAGAGGCTGGGAAAGGAGGACGGGTCCCCAGAAATGTGGCGTTAGCAGAGCTGTCCCCCCACAGGGACAAGGTCCTTCCTGAGGAGCACACTGGTACAACAGCAAGGGCCCAGGGACAGCACCACCGAGCAGTGCCCTCCTGCACCAAGACGCTTCCCTCAGCCCTCAACCAGACACGGGATTTTTCCATTTGGCTGTCACAAGATTGTTAAGAGTTGAGCATTTGGTGAACGAGAACAGCATCGCCAAAGTTCATAACGCCAACGAATCTCCCATAAATGACTGTGAAACTGTAGCCTTAAAAGCAATCGCCTTAAACTGATGAAGGTCCCGCTGGGGTTCAAAAGTGACCTGACCCTCACAGCCCCGGCACCCAGGCAGCTGTGGCACATCGAGCCACCCCTGAATGCTAACCCTATAAACTGGTTCTAAGCCGTATTTTTTGATTGCATTGTCCGCAGAGCCACACGAGCACCAAGGCCCCGCAGTGGAGGTGGCTGATACACGCACGGGTAAGGAAACGCCAAGTGCCCCTTGCCAGGGCAGCAGGCAGCGAGGGCAAGGTTCAGCGACCGGCTGAAGTTGGTCTTGTCTTGGACAAACCAAAGATCGCAGAATGCACACCCTTGGATGACATGGTTAACTAACACTGATTTATATCCTCCAGGGCCAGAACATTCCTTGGGAGTTAGATAAACCACACACAAATTGCAAGCCGTTTCTGAAGGGTCTGTGCAGCCACTCTGCGGTTACAGGACAGAAATATTTATTGCGTTTGGCATGGAAGCGCAGTCTGCGAGCACTGGGCAACGGCAGGAGCGGGTGAGCAGCAGAGCACCAGAGAGCGAGCAAATTCTTTCTTTTCCTTTCCTAATAAATCATACACAAAGGTGAACAGCTGTCACGCTGACATTTCAGATCTGAAATATAGTTAAGAGCAAGTTATAACTAAGGCAAAGAAAACGAGTGTCAGAAAGTCTTGTTTTTTCAAATTTCAGATAAGCTCTTTAGCCCTAGGGTTAATGGGAGAGCTCGAGAGCTCTGCCTGGAGTCTCGCTCCTCACCAGAAAAATGTTTCTTTGTGCAGTATGTGTGTAAACACGCACAAGTAAGGCTACGTGTATTTCTATAAATAATATGGCACACCTTTAATTCATTGCCCAGGGTAATCAAAACACTCGTGGTCCTTCAGAGAACCTTTCTCTTCCTGTCTGAAGCAACACCCATCACCAAGAGGAGCCATCCGCTCGGTGCACCCTGCAAAGCAGCTCCGCAGCCTGCGGCCAGCGCGGCTCCTGCCCCTCTCTGGAGGTGCCTCTGGAGCGGCTGCACAGCCCTGCCAAGGGGTGCCCAGCCGCCAGGGCCACGCAGCCACCAACAGCACCAAGGGACTGGAGTCGGAGCCATGGCTGCTTTACACGCTGCACGCAGCTGAACTGGTGAAGCCACAGCAAAGTGAAAACAAGCTCTCATTACCTCTAGTCTACGAACGTTGTCTCATCACTGCCCATGACATCGAAGGGAACTCCCAAGGCCTAAATCTTCTACCTTCAGCCATGGTCACAGTAAGGGCTCTGCGCTGCAGCTGTGGACGTGTACGACAGCTGGTTCAAAAGGTAAAAGTCCCTCGAGTGAGGGATGCTGGTCCATCCGCAGGGCAGCTGTCAGTAACACTTCTGAACCGGACACAACGCAGTGTCCAGGTAAAAGCTCTTCCTTCCATAGCCAACACCTTTTCTCTCATTTTGTCTCTCTGCAGAGCAGCTCAATATTTAACAAATTCAAGCATTTGATATTCTCAAGCAGAGGCAGAGAAGCTGTGACTTGCCCATGGCCGCTAAAACGAAGAGAACCAAGATCAGCCCCCAGAAGGCCTTGGCTACCAGATCGATACCAGGCAGGAAGGCAGGGAGAGAACCGTGCACTAATTGGATTCTGCCTACGGGGTTTCCTCAGCTTTCCTGCACAAGTGTTCACATCCCTAAGAAAAGGGCAAACACACCTCGCAGGGAAGTTTACTGTAACATCAACTCCACGAGCGCTGGAAATGGCCGCACGTTACACAAACAGGACCCATCTTCTGAAGAAAATCTGTTTTGTAATCAAAATCTTGATTGCTTCATTTGTGGGGAGAGGGAAGGTGGATCGGGATATAAAAACATACACAGAAATTACACAGCTACAGATTCCAAGCTTAAATACGAACCCACAGAGATTATGTTCAGAGAACAAGGATCAGCTACAACATCCCCAGCCACTCCATGTGACAAAACAGGATACCTGCAGCTGCATGTTGCTCACGAAAAATTAAATCCAGTGCTATTTATCTGCCTGCCAGCACATGTTTACAAAGTAATGAGACTGCCTTTCCTTCCCCCGACCCCAAAAGTCAAAGCTGTATTTAGAATCTGCACTTTTATTCCACAAACTCCCCGACGTGCCATGGCTCATGCATCCTCTCCAGTGTTTCAAATGCGACCAAGCACAGATCACACAGGACACTCTATTTACTGTGCTAACTCTGTGAAAAGGACATGGGTTTACAGCATAACTGCCAGGACAACAGATATTTATTCTACAAGGATCATTGCGACAGCATTTCCCTTGATCTGTACAGACAGCCCACTGCCTGTCAGGAATAGCAGCACTCGGTCGCACTGCACTGTAAACGCAGCATTCAGAGGACAGGGAGCACTGGGGTTCCAGCAGAAAATAATTCAATTAAACCGTGCATCTCATTTGTTCAGACATCGCCCATACAGTGCTGAGTATTCCCCTTGTTTCGCTGTCCCTCCTTTCTTACAGGGAGCACTGGGGTTCCAGCAGAAAATAACTCAATTAAACCGTGCATCTCATCTGTTCAGACATCTCCCACACAGTGCTGAGTATTCCCCTTGTTTCACTGTCCCTCCTCTCTCGCAAGAGCAGAGGACAAGGCCCTGTTGGTCTATCAGGACCCTAAGCAATCACCACGCTGTAACAGCGTAAGCTCATTAGTCAATACTGGGTCTCCACAGACCAGAAACAGGACGGCAGTCCTGTACCCCAGCCGTGCCTGGCTGGATTGCACTCACCCATTTGCTCCACAATTTCAGGTGGAAAAACTCGAGAAGCAAAAGCTCGTCGGAAAATATCCGAGAATTCTTTGTCAAGGCCCCCAATGCCCATTTTCTCAAAATTCCAGTCCGGGTTGATGATCGACTGGCGGTTCTCCTTGGTCTTTGATTTACCTGCAAAAAACCAAAGCAATCATTTCAAACACGCAGGAGAGCAGAGTCACAGCAAACCAAAGCACAACCACCAGAACTGCTCTGCAGGCCAGAGCCATGCTCAGCGTTTGCTTTCAAAGGAGGATCCGCTACGGCAAGGACACCAGGGCAGAACACCAGAGGCTCAGCTGATTTGTGAACCGTTTTCCCAGCCTTCCAACCGTCCTGTTCAGGGATTTCTCAAGCTTGTTGTTGCTTCTGTACGTGTAAGAATCCTCAGTAGATCTCTGCCACAAATGTACCCAGGCGCCCTAAGACCACGTACGCTCTGTATCCAGAGCGCCCTACAGCATCGCGCTCACCGTGCCTGCCACCACCACAACCAACCCCCTCCTCTGGTGCATCTGAGCCAGCTCCTGCCAGCCTCATTTCACATCCCCCAGCCTTGTGTCAGGAGGGACAGTGAACAGCAGCAGCATCCCCTCGCTTCAGGCTCCCTGGGACGACGTTAGGCTCGTGCTGTATCCTCCTCAGCGGTGCCTTTGCCAGGTCCTCGCTGGTTCTCCCTTCCTGACGACGCAGGAGCTCCGCACTGGAGCACCCTGGTTCTCCTCTCCATCCTCTCTGTATCCACTGCACCCCTTGAGCACCAGGCAGGGTGGAAGTGCCCCCACTGCGGCTTGTTTGAATCTCAGATACAGGTACAACTATGCTCCTCTTTACCCATATTCCTTTATTAATAATTCTTAACAACCATGATTAATAACTCCCAGCAACGAGGCTCAGACTGATACTGAGCATGGGTCCAGATTTTCCTGGCAACTATCATACCTGGGATCCTGGCCCAAAACAGCAACCAGTTCTGACTCAAGTTAGGAGTCTTACTCCTCTCATGCATCACTTTACGCTTATTTCTATTGAATTTTCTCTGCCACCTGATTTCTTGCTCACTGAGCTCAAAAAGAACAAGCTTTGTCACCTCATTACTCAGTCTCTTCAGCTTATTCAATAATTATACCGAGAAGCAGAGGCCCCAG